TTTTTTATGTTTTAATGAGCATTGAAAATATGAGTTATTAATAATCAAAATATTTTTATGTTCAGCCTAAATATTCATATGAAAATTTTAGACTTTTTAATCTTTTCATACATATCTGTAATTTTTCAGAAATTCTGTAATTCATGTAAGATGATTATTATTGAGAGGCACTATATAGCATATGATATCACACTAAAGGGGAAGGGCTATATGCTGATGATCCATTTACCACTTGAAGACAAAGGATAAGTTATTATCTGTGGGGATGCATGTGCGTGTGTGTGTGTCCAAAGCCTGGGGCCCATGATATACATGATATATCTTTTATCACTAAGGTGCACCCCCAGTCCCAGATCCTATTAGCAATTTAATTTATGGTTGGCCTATATTTATACATTGTTGACAAAATGGGCAGAAAAGTTCCAAGCGAATAAAGCAACCTGGACTGATTTCGAAAATAAAAAACAGTCTTGGTTCAAATTTATTTTTGTTTTTGGGCAGTTAGAAACCTTCTATTATTTAAATTACTTTCCCAAACTACCGCTATTAGTTAATTTTGAGGTAGGTTCTTATTCAGTTCTGTGTAGCCTAGGCTGGCTTCCGACTCTGCTCCTGAGGTCTGAATTACAAGTATACCTCCATTCCTGGTCCCCAAGGCCTCTTTATATGGATATTTTACTAAGTGTGGGACTCAGAGGATGTGGAAATTTGGATGTGATCAGTCCCCATAATCTCATAGGAAGTGGCACTGTTGGGAGATACGGCCATGTTGAAGGAAGTGTGTTACTGTGGGTGTGGGCTTTGAGGCCTCTTTTGCTCAAGCTTCACTCAATATAACACTCAGTCCACTTCCTGTTGCCTTCTTATCAAGACATAGCCAGCACCACAACTGCGTATGCACTGCCGTGTTCCCCGCCATGATGATAATGTAAGCCACCGCCTCAACTAAATGTTTTTTTTATAAGATTTGCCACAGTCATTGTGTCTCTTCATGTCAATAAAAACCCTAAGACGGGGGAGGTACTACATGACTACATGTATAGTACGAACTTTTGTTGCACTCTGGGGCATTTTCAAACTGCAAGTCTGGTATCAGTGAAAGAGATGACTTTGTCAGTTCTCTAGGTTACTGTCAGTTATGTAAAGTTGGTATTACTAATATTTTAATGTTTGAAGAGGAAACAAAATTAAACAAAAATTGAGTCCTCTTGCTGTTAAACTACTTCAGTGGATACTAAAAAAGTTAAAGGGCTCTTTTGGTTTTATTTATAGTTGATCTTGTAGTACAGAACACAGTGTTTCTTTCAACACAGATGCTCATTGAATTTTGTGAGGACTTTTATCTCAAACTTGTACACACACTGAATTTCAAAAGAACAACCCATATTCAGAAAAGGAAATAACAATTTAATTGTCAGAGTAACACCACTCTCCATTGAACCAGTTTTTAATTTAAATCTGGAAACTCAGAGAAGAGCAAAATAGCAGATTAGTCTCTAATTTGGTTCCAAATTAAGCCCATTGGTGTTTTTGACTTTTAGGGATGAGAAAAATACAAGATTTTTTTTGTTCATCCAACAAACTCCCAAAAATCTCTGTTTAAATTCTTTGGTCTCTAATTGGTGTTTCTATTGATCTCTGGTTACCTTTGACAATATCAAAACTAAATATTTCAAGATAGAGATTCAGTCATTCATTTTCAAAACATAATTCTATATAGTATATACTATCCTTCATTTTTCTCTAAAGATGCCATCTCAGAAATTTAGTTACTTGCTTGAAAACCCACTGTTCAATTTTAATGCGTCATAATAGTTTGGCTGATAGTATTCTTAAGAGTGAAACACTTCTCTGCTGCTCTTCTGTCACAGAATATTGTTGATGACAAGTTTGGTGTCAGCCAGCGTCTCCGTCATTATATGTAAATCCCGTTTCCTTCCACACTTGATTTTCCAAAAAGCAGAGAAGTGATGAATCTCATTTTATTTTAGATTACTTCGTTTATTCATCATGTTCTGACATTTGCTATTCCAGAGCTCAAGAGTCATAAAATTCACGGCAGTTTCTATAGCTCTTTTCCCCCTTTACAACAATTCCACTTGGCATATTTTATATCAACTAGCATTTACCTCCCAATGGTCATTTTCTGCTTTTGATTTGGACAAATCAAATCTCTTTCATCAGCAGTCTTTTCATGTGGTTATGGATCTCTTTGTCCTAGGGGAGAGAACAAACACTGAAGCTGTCTAGTCATCTTTCCATGGCCTTAGTCATCCTTGGTGATAATGTTTTATCAGCTTCTTACCTTCTTTTAAAAGTTCCTTCACACTGTCCTGGCTTTAATGATCTTTAAAAGAGAGATTGGAGGCTGGGTGGAACGGCACTCGCCTTTAATTCCAGTAGTCAGGATGCAGAGGCAGGTGGATCTCTGTGAGTTTGAGGCCAGCCTGGTCTATAAAGTGAGTTCTGGGACAGTTGGGCTGTGACACAGACAAACCCTATCTCAAAAATGAGAGGGAGGGATGGAGGGAAAAAGGGAGGGAGGGAGGGAGGGAGAGAGAGAGAGAGAGAGAGAGAGAGAGAGGTCTCATGGTAGTTTGCAAACAGGTTTCAGGAGATTCAAGCCTTAAGAAGGTTGACTCACCTTTGTAACACGGGTGAGTTAGGCCCCAAACAGCCTTGGGGCTTACACTTACCCATTCGCCGTATGAAGCCAGTATCTTAGAGAATATCCCCTTCTTTGTTGTTATGGTGTCTGTTAAGACACTAGACCTGAGACTCTATGAGAATACCTTTATACAGCAATTGATGAGTGAAAACCAAGTGGAGAGCCTGGTATGGCGGCGCACGCCTTCAATCCCCAGCACTTTGTAGACAGAATCAGGGAGACCTCTGAGTTTGAGGCCAGCCTGATTTACACAATGAGTTCCAGAACAACCAAGACTACATAGAGAGTCCCTGTCTCAAAACAACAAAAACAAAACTACATACATGGAAATGTTTACAGCATTGATATCGGAAATAAATGTAGAAATTTGATGATGAGCAGAAACCTTAAGAAACAATCCAAAAGTCCTGTTCTGAATGAACATGTGGCAGTTGCCATATTTAGCCTCTAGTTATAAAGTGAAATTAACTTGGTAACCCAACAATTCCCTCCTGACAAAGGCATATTTCTAACATTACTGCTCTAATTACAAAGATCAGAGCAGCAAATCCTTAACTCATTCTGCAACAGTAAATTATGACAAACTGGCAAATATAATGAAAGGAAAGAAAACTACATATCCGTTTGTTTTGTCGATGTTGATGTGAAAAATTTCAAGAAAATACTGGCAGAGCTGGGTAGCAGCAGCACATGCCTTTTATCCCAGCACTTGGGAGGCAGAGGCAGGCGGATCTCTGTGAGTTTGAGGCCAGCCTGGTCTACATACTGAGCAACATGACAGTCTCCAAAGATACACAGAGAAACTTTGTCTCCAAAACATACAAACAAAAATGTAAAAAGAGAAAAAGAAAAGAAAACGACGTTGGCAAACCAACACCAATAACAGATGAGATTGTACATCATGGATAACAAAGAATTTATGTGGGAAAAATGGTTCAACATATTAAAATCAATACTGAAAGATCACTTAAGGGCCAAACGAATGGCAAAGCCACACAATCATCTTAATAAACGCAGAAAAGCATTTTAGAAAATCTTTTAATTAGAAAGAGAGAACACAGAACTATCTTTGGTGTGACCTTTAAGGAATCTTAAGTAATCTGCAAGCACATGGACATTAATGGACAAGTCCTGCAAGATCATTACCCTAAGAGTAGCTGTCTCTGTACGCTACCACTGGACAAAATGAAAATAAAGGAAAAGTCCCTTGGACTCAAAAGGACCAAGATGCTTAGAAAAGAAGCAGGCAGGTGTGTCAATGAAATTCGTACAGAACCCTAGAAGACATAAAGGAAATTCTTGAAGACCTGTGTAAGAAATGTGCATGGACTGAAGACCCTCTGCTGTGAAGATTATCCTCAAGCTAGTTTGTGACTTAATGGAATTCTTACCAAAATGCCAGTTTGCCATTCTCCTAGAAGTTACCAAAATGTCTCTAAACTTTTCATGTGAAAATACAAGAATTCCTGAATAGCCAAAACACTATTGGAAAAAAAAGGAGGAATTTGAAGAAATCAAACTTTCTGGTTTCATTGTGGTATTTTAAGTTTGAAATAAAAATGTTTGAATGATTTATGCACTAAATGTGTACATACACTTTCTATTTAAATACAGACAGTAATTTGTTAGATATTGGCTTAGAGTGCATCGAAAATTTACATTTTTGATATAATGCAATTTGACTTGGAAGGTTAGTCAATATAAAATTTAAGTTTGTTTTCACAACATAAACTATTTGGTTTGTAACTATTTCACTCAAATGCTTAGCTGATGAATTCGATTCAACTGTATCTGTGCAGTGGAGTATTCCAAAAGATAATTTCTTCCATAATAACTTATAGTGAATTATACAAACTCTTGACATTAACCTTAATACCTTGATATTTTATCACTGTGAAAAAATAGTTTTTACAAAAATGAGTTCTGCTGTTTACCTGATTATTCAAATCGTCAATGTGTGATAAGACCAGCTGTCTTCTAGTTTTGTTTTCATGACCCCACTCATGAAAAATATTGGATAATTGTACCAATTACGCAGTTTTAAATAGTAACAACACTGGTAAAGAAAAATCTGCATACACTTTAAAACGACTTTAATTTGGAAACTTTAAACAGTAGTTAATTTGAAAATAGAGTTGCAAGAGTTTCACAAAAAGCCACGGGGTGGCGCTGCAGGCTAAGTTTGGGCTTTAAAATCACTAAAATACCAGGAATCGCTTGTGAGAAAATAGAACAAAAGACGCAGGCAAGAGCTTTGAAAGCACTACGGAGCTATGAAGGGGTTTGGACAAGAATATACTGGATTAATGTAAGATTGAGAACAGCGTGTGAAGGTCCCTCTTAAGAAAAGAAAAACCAGAAGCCAGCGTTTTAAAGCACTGGGAGACTGCTAAAGGATTGGATGCAAACAATCGCTTTCCCAACACGGAGAAGATGGAGAGAATTCAACCAAACAGGCAAGTCATGGCTTTTATATTTATGCTGGTTTGGGTTCAGGTTTGGAGTGAGCCAACAACTCGGTACTCTATCATGGAGGAAACAGAAAGCGGCTCCTTTGTAGCCCATCTGGCCAAGGACCTGGGTCTGAGATCTGGGGACCTGGCAGCCCGGTCTGCAAGGGTGGTGTCTGATGATTACAAGCAGCGATTGCTGCTGGATCCCAAGACTGGAGATCTGCTTCTGAGGGAGAAACTAGACCGGGAAGAGCTCTGTGCCTCTGTAGACCCCTGTGTGCTGCATTTCCAGGTGTCTCTTGAAAAACCAGTGCAGTATTTTCAAGGAGAATTACTGATCCAGGACATAAATGACCACTCACCAGAATTCCCAGATAGGGAAATGCTTTTGAAAATACCAGAAAATAGCCAGCCAGGCACTCTGTTACCATTGAATTTAGCCCAGGATTTGGATGTGGGCAGCAATGGGCTTCAAGAGTACACAGTCAACTCCAACTCTCATTTTCATGTCCTCACTCGAAATAATAGTGAAGGCAAGAAATACCCAGAATTGGTGCAGGACAGAGCCCTGGACAGAGAGGAGCAGGCAGAGCTGAGCTTGACCCTCACGGCTCTGGATGGGGGCTCTCCACCTAGGTCAGGAACAGCCATGGTTCGAATCCTGATCCTGGACATCAATGACAATGCCCCTGAATTTGTGAAGACCCCCTATGAGGCACAGGTCCTGGAGAGCAACCCCCCAGACTCTGTGGTCCTGACTGTCCTAGCACAGGATGCAGATGCTGGCAACTTTGGGAGAGTTTCCTATGGCTTGTTCCAAGCATCAGATGAAGTTCAACAGACGTTCTCAATAAACGAAATCACGGGAGAAATACGGCTGAAAAAGGGATTGGACTTTGAAAAAATTAAGTCTTACCACGTGAAAATCGAGGCCACGGATGGAGGAGGCCTTTCTGGGAAGGGCGCTGTGCTGATAGAGGTGGTGGATGTGAACGACAATGCCCCAGAGCTGACCATATCTTCACTGACCAGCTCAGTTCCAGAAAATGCTCCTGAGACCATAATCAGCATCTTCAGAGTTGGAGACAGGGATTCCGGAGAGAATGGAAAGGTGGTTTGTTCTATTCCAGACACCCTGCCGTTCATCCTCAAATCCACTTTCAAGAATTTCTACACCCTGGTGACAGAGAGTCCTCTGGACAGAGAGAGCAGATCTGAGTACAACATCACCATCACAGTCAGCGACATGGGCACACCCAGGCTCACAACCCAGCACACCATAACAGTGGAGGTGTCAGATGTCAACGACAACGCCCCCGCCTTCACACAAAGCTCCTATACCTTGTTTGTCCATGAGAACAACAGCCCTGCCCTGCACATAGGCACCATCAGCGCCACAGACTCAGACTCAGGCTCCAATGCCCACATCACCTACTCGCTGCTGCCCACTCACGACTCGCATCTGCCCATCACCTCGCTGGTCTCCATAAATGCCGAAAATGGTCAGCTGTTCGCTCTCAGGGCGCTGGACTATGAGGCCCTGCAGACCTTCGAGTTCCTCGTGGGCGCCACAGACCAAGGCTCGCCTGCGCTCAGCAGCCAGGCGCTGGTGCGCGTGCAGGTGCTGGACGCCAACGACAATGCGCCCTTCATGCTCTACCCGCTGCAGAACGCCTCTGCGCCCTTCACTGAGCTGCTGCCCAGGGCAGCGGAGCCAGGATACCTGGTCACCAAGGTGGTGGCTGTGGATCGCGACTCTGGCCAGAACTCTTGGCTGTCGTTCCAGCTTCTTAAGGCTACAGAGCCAGGGCTGTTCAGCGTGTGGGCTCACAATGGCGAGGTGCGCACCTCCAGGCTGCTGAGTGAGCGCGATGCACCCAAGCACAGGCTGCTGCTGGTGGTCAAGGACAATGGCGATCCTCCGCGGTCTGCCAGTGTCACTCTGCATGTGCTGCTGGTGGATGGCTTCTCTCAACCCTACTTGCCACTACCGGAGGTGGCACGCGACCCCGAGCACGACAATGAGGACTTGCTCACGTTGTATCTGGTCATCGCCTTGGCGTCTGTGTCTTCGCTCTTTCTCTTGTCTGTGCTGCTGTTTGTGGGCCTGAGACTGTGCAGGAGAGCTCAGGCAACCTCTCTGGCTGGTTGCTCTGCTCCTGAGAGACACTTTCCTGGACACCTGGTGGATGTCAGTGGAGCAGGAACCTTGTCCCAGAGCTACCAGTATGAGGTGTGTCTGACTGGGGATTCTGGGACTGGTGATTTCAGATTTCTCAATCCCATGATCCCTGAGCTTTTGGTTCAAGATTCTGGGCGAGAACTTAAGGAAAATCTCCATGGCAGGGAGAGCTTTGTTTTTAGCTAAGTCATTGGTTCTCAACCTCTGGACTGGGGGGGGGGGGGGGGAGGGATGACCCTTTGGGGAGTCGAACTACCCTCTCACAGGGGTTACACATCAGATATTCTGCATATCAGATATTTACATTATGAGTAATAACAGAAACATATTACACTTATGAAGTAGTAACAAAATAATTTTATCCTCCCAGGTCCCCACATCATGAAGAAATGTATTAAAGGGTCATAGGAAGGTTGAGAACCACTGAACTAAGTGATGTAAATTCCTAAGTGTTCTGATAGTTTCTTTTTTATTGGTATGAAAGTACTAGGCTTTTAGTTATACGAAGCATATTTTTCTCTGCATATGATTATCTCTTGGTGATTAACACTCCCATAGCCCTAAAAAAACAATACAGTATTAAATTTTCTTTGTGTAATACTCTTGATGATCTTCTGAGACGTTTTACTGCTCTCAAAAGTCTTGGATTTGTGGCACCTGCCCTTTCCGTCTATTTTTGTCTTTTCAAACGTAGATTGCTTAAAATTACTTATGTTGTCTGGATCTTTCTGCATGAATGGAAAGCCACATTATGCTGTGTTCACTATCAGGCTACATGCCCTGAATAGCCCAGTCTTAAAAATGTAAAGTGTATGAGCACCACGCATGCTAGTTGTCCTGTCTATTTGGCTGCAAGTGTTCTGAAATGATACTGTTAGTGTTTGAATTCTTATTTGACAAAAATTAAAGAGAAAATGTATAATTTCTCATCCCATTTAAAAATATAACTGCTAAGTCACTGTTTTGCTATATTAATAAATTTATCTTTTGATTATTTTGATAATTAATCTCAGAATTATATCTTTCTGAAAAAGGAAAATGTAGGGCTGTTGAGGGCATCACGTTTACCTTTTTCTTTCTCATACAAATAAGTCCATGTTTTAATTTGTGTGTCTTTTCTGAACCCTTCAAATGAGGAAATTTCTTTTGAAATTTGGCTATTCTGCTTGATTTTGTTTATTAGAAGTTTTCAGCTTTGTCATTTTGTGTTAGCTGGTGCCTTGGATAGAGTTTATCAATCAGCAAATATTATTTTTGATGTTAAATCATTTTGTTTCATTGTTTAGTGTACCCTTAAGGTACTTTGGGTGAAACTGATGAATAATAATGAATAGCATTTTGCTTGTTAATAAAGTGGAGCAGTAACATTCTTGTTGATTTGTAATTACAGCTTTCTGCTGTGTTCATTAAGCCTGGTGAAATGTGTGCTTGGCTTCTAACTCATTACATGTCTGTAGATAAGACTATGTCAAAACTCTTTGAACTTTTGGCAGAAAATGGGCAATTGAGAAGCTTTTTAAATATCTCACCGTCTATTTCTAAGTCTTAACTATCAGTCTATGTGAAGTGAAGCAGTTGTAGTTTTACCCAAATTCCTTCGCCACCAAAGCCACACAGCAATGAAAAAGCCAAATTATGGCAGTTTAAGTTCTTCTTGAAATGTAGGCTTTAGTTGTCATTCAACTAAAAAGAAATAAATAACCCTGAAAGCCAGTGAGCCCGTTAGGAAAAAGGGTTTTGTAGGGAGGAGGAAGTAAGAGAGGAGATTTGAGGTGTAAGGAAGGGCTAACCAATGTCTGAAGAGACAATGACTGGGAGTTTCTACCACTGGTGAGTCTTTGACTGTTCAGGGTATCCAGGACAACCTCAGCAGGGTCCGTAAGAAGCAGAGCCTACTTGAGCATCTCACAGGAAAGGTGCTCAACACAAGATCCAGAAGAGGAAAAATGTTAAACCAACCGTATGAAGACAATGTATTTCTTTTAAAGGAGCATCAGTAAAGCCAAGAATTGACTTGTGGGCATTAGTCATGAAATCAAAGACAATGTCTTTAAATTCCTGGGGGAAAGTATTCCCGAGTATAACTCTAGCACACAGAGCCTTCAGAGTTGAAACTTCTCAGCAAAGACTGAGAGAAATCATTGACTCACATGGCACCAAGAGAAACACTTTTAATGGATTAAGTAGGCAGAAGGAAACAATCCCAAATAAATTGCAGACTTGTGTCAAGAGGTAAAAAGTAGCAGGAAAGGTTACAAGTGAATATTGACCAGGTGTTGACTCTATAAAGCAAGAACAGTGGTGTCTTAAGATAATACAGAGCAGAGAAAAAGATGTACAGAAAAATGAGAGAAAGCAGGAAAAGCTCTAAAAATGAAGAGAGAGCTGATCTTGGTGGCACCCTCCTTCAATCTCAACACTAAGGAGGCAGAGGCAGGTGGATCACTGAGTTGGAGGCTAGCCTGTTGTTCACAGTGAGTACCAGGCCAGCTAGGACTATATAGTGAGACCTGACTCAAAAAAATTGGTTTTCTAAGCAAATTATATAATAGTCTTACTCCTTTTTCTTCTAATCATTAATTCATGAGCACATTTTATATGATAATTTTACTTTAGGGGAGCCTTTAAATGTTGTAAATAAAGGGCGGCGGGGCTGCGTCCCCAGCCCCCTGGCTGCCTGCTCAGCTAGCTTATGCTCCGAAATAATTACACGGACACTGTATTCTTTTAAACACTGCTTGGCCCATTCTCTTCTAGGCTAATTCTCACATATTAATTTAGCCCATTTCTAATCATCTGTGTGTAGCACCCCAAGGTGCGCTTACCGGGAAGATTCTAGCCTATGTCCATCCTGGGTCGGAGCTTCATTCCGGGAGCAGGGCATGGCGTCTCTCTCAGGCGTCTGCTCCAGAGAGGAGAGCTGTCGAGACTCTGAGCTCACTTCCTCTGCCTCCCAGCGTTCTGTTCTGTTTACTCCACCTACCTATGTCCTAACCAATAAAATGGGCCAAGGCAGTTCCTTTATTAGCCAATGACCTTCCTCCATCATTTTAAGATTTTCTTTGAAATACCTTTCTGTTCACACAACTATGGTACATATTTCTTTATTTTTGCCATTTCAGTAGGCTTTCCTTAAGGATATTTTAAGTCTATTTTTAGAAAAAAACAGTTTTCTATTTGAGTTTTGTGTTTTTCTCCCTTCTCTTTATTGTATCTCTCTGGAAACTTTATTTTTTGAGATTCTCATTCTATTCTCCATGTCCCTTGACTTTACGTCTTTATTTCTCCCTGCTACGCCAGCCCACTGACTCTATGTCACCTCAGCTTACCCCAAGACTGTCAGTCAGCAAATATGTAGAATTATTTTAAAGTTATGTTTATAAATTTGTTCCAATGATAATTTATTTCTAGCTTCATTATTTGTGACAACTAAAGACCTCATGTGATCTTTATATTTACCATGGGATTGAGTTTGCATCTCTCAATCCTCCCTTGGTTCCTTTAGATATAAGCATTGAGATGACCACATCTTCATGATGGAGAAGTCATATATACATACACACCTATATAGTCTACATGTACAACTTCTATCAGATAAATTACACCATCATGTATTCTCCTTTCTGGTTATCATAGGTTTACTATGTGGAGTTACTATCATTAAGCTTGGCTTTCTCTCTCCTGTACTTTGCTGAGAAGTCTTAGTACAAGGAGATCAGATCCACGAGAAAGCACTTCTTTCCAGTGGCCTTTTCTCATATAATGGCTGCTGTACCTTTCTTTTCCTCCCTGCCATCTTTGCTCTCCCTCTTGTTATCTCTTATTTTTCTCACTCCTCTATTTCTATCTCACTTGTACTGAAAGTTTAGAGTCAAGATACACATTATATAAGAATTGTGTGCATGGTTAATGTGTGCAAGATATTTGGTAAAAAATAAAACTTGGATGTATTCAGGTGATGAAATCATCTGAACTAGTGGGCCATGGTCTCTTTGATCAGTTATCATGTTTTTCCATACACAATGCATTTGTTTTTGTTTTAATTAATCTTTGGATGTTAAAAGTTATAAGGAAAATATTGTTGCATTTGATAATTAATGTAGAATGCTATTTGAAATTCAAAACTGAAGAAAATATAAAATCTGATCAATCATGTCTTAGATAAAGGTATTATATAAATCTATTACACATACTGAATTATTACAAGCAGGCATATAAGAACTAATGCAAACATATAAACTTGTAGAAGTAGTCAACATAGCATAACTCAGCTGGGTACCAGCATCTCTGAATGGGTTAGACATCCAGACTTCAAAGGGACACTGCAAGAAAGAAATGACAAAACAAATCATTTTTCTTTTTTTAAAGGCAATCAAACCAGATATATGCAAGAGAAAAAATAATGAATTACTATTTCTAACACAAGTTCATTATTGGAAATTTGACCACTATAATGTACCACTGCAATAGATAAAGGCGAAAAACAGAATGATTAATCTAAATGGGTACAGAAAAACTTTCTGAACAAAATCCATCACAATCAAATGGAGAAAATGTAAACAAATTAATGTGGAAAGGAATTTTAAGTATGCTCAAAAGTATACAGTAGTCAGATGTGGTGGCATATGCCTTTAATTTCAGTAGGCAGAAGCAGGTGGGTGTCTGTGAGTTTGAGATCAACCTGGCCTATGTAGGGAGTTCAGAACAGTGCAGGCTGCACAGAAGGAACCTATTTAAGAAGAATTAAACAAATACATATGTAGTAAATATCACTGGAGGTAAATTATTGGATAATTTCTGAGGACAATCAACAATGAGACGAGGACGTCCACCCTGTCTAATACCAAGATTATACAACCAGTCTCATCAAGAGGGACAAAGCAAAGAAGATGTAAAAGCCATAACAGAAGGAATAAAATTATATTTCAAATGATGAAATCATATACATAGAAGCCATGAAGACACTGCAATCAGAAGCTATCAGTGGAGTCAGGAATTCCAGTAGATGCAAAGTCGATAACATGCGTGAGTTCTGTTTAAATGAAGAAAAAGTGAAAAAATTTAAAATCATTTAAAATGACTTTCAAATATATAAACCCTTAGAAACAAATCTAATTGGGAACTGTAAAGCAGGAAGATCAAGCATTATTGAGAAAAATATAAAGATCTAAGTCAATTGAGGAATG